GGTTTTTTCGCAGGAGAGCTCGAAGAGGTCATTTTTGGTGAAACGTTTCGCAAAAATTAAGATTATTTTGCGGTTTTGGAAAGAGTTACCATAAGTGGCCCCTTAACTATATATTGGACGGTGCAAGGCACGCTCCGCTCCGCCACCCTCGAGAGCTGCTGCCATCTCCGCGTTCACCCTCCTGTAGTCGGCGCTTTTGTCCTTCGCCGCCGCGCGCTCCTTCGCAGCAAGCCTCCTGTCGCTCCCCACTCACCGGCACCGCGAATGTCGATGGAAAGTTACCCCCATTGAGCGACATGCTCGCCGACTCAGCTTCACGTCCTCCTCTTGCTAGCCGTCTCGTGTGAGCGGCGTGCGCTGCGCCTGGCAGCTGCCCGTAGTCTGTGGCCCACCTGCCTTTGGGCCTGCACTGGGACCGCGCTGCTCGTTGGACGGTGAAAAAGGTGTGTGGGGAAAAACAAAAACCCTTCGTCAAGATGACTGTAATCGCTAGCCATGCCGGGGCCTCAAGACTTATCCCGATCAGAACCTCAAAATGAAACCCCACCATTTTTCGCACATCGAACTTGGGCCACACCGTATGTCGCGGTCATCCTTGCGCAGGGGCCATGCTCACCTGCACGTCACACGACACGAGTCTTCCTTGCACAGGGGCCATGCAAATCTGCACATCACGCGGCACACCCGCACTTCCCATGCAGCGACCACCCTCACTCCCGACTTCATGCACGTTGACGGAGGCGCCGCCAGCGGCTGCCCTTGCCCATCACGGAGCGCTGTGGCGCGGAAGGCCACCACGGCCGTGGAGCTGAAATCGATCACCACAACCTCGCCTGCCCCGCACGGGCCTGCTGCCCCGGCGCGGATGCGTAGGCGTGGGTCCAGGTCGCTCGCGAGGCTGTTGGCGCGGAAGGTCGTGCCTAGCCGTGGCAGGCACGCACTACAGCGCCGCAAGTCCACGCTGATGATCGCCGCCACCTCGACTTTGTTGTCTATGCTTGTGCAGCGACGCAACGCTTGTGTCCTCGCTGGCCGGCCCCTCCCCGGGGCAAAGTCGCGCGTTACCCGGAACTCACCCGCGGCGGACCGCAACGGCTTCTTGTCCGTTGAGGCGACGAGCGCCAGCAATTTCTCCATACCCTGCTTCCGCTCTACGGCGTGCAGTGTGCCCTATACCCCCCTTTTGCACGTCCCGCGCCGCTTTTGGACCGTGTCCGACGCCCTTCAGCGAGCTGTCGCCAGCACTGCGCTGACCTAGGTTAATAGACACCGACGGGACACTGAGGGCAGACGCAAAAGGGTGCAAAGAAAAAAAAAACCAACAACAAACCCACGTAGTCGGTGACACAGCTCGGTGCATGATGACGCATACCCGGATACCGGACTCAAGAAGGTCACGGCAAACCCAGCAGATCCGCTCATGTTTACATTTTGTTCCGAGACTATTGATTCATGCTTCACCATCACACTTGCATCGAACGACTTTAATTTGCCACCGCAGATTCGACAAATGCAGTCCGCGTGAATGCATCGTAATCGACTGCATGTTGTTCTCAAATGCAAGGCTGACACCGACTGAGGCTGCCCCTCCACTGTGCAAGTTAGTCCCGTTGGCAGATAAAAGGCAATGATGCACAGGCAGCACTTGTCGAAAGTTCTGTTTAGCTTTTTGGCAGAGTCAGCTGCCTGTTCTCGTTGGCCATGCCGTCCCACAAGCCCACGTTGTTGCAGACGGAACGGCGTTTCAAGCCAGCATGAGATGCAAGCAGCGGTTGAGTGTCTTGCAATTGCTTTAGCTGACTCCATCGGAACACGGGGTTGATGCATAGCACAATGTTGATGTGTCATGAGTGCGTGTACAGCTTGGGCACTCAGGATCACATGTTAGAGGAGACGAGTCGCAGGTCGAGCCCGATGTTTTCGCAATCATGCATAGCTGCATGTCGTTCGGAATGCCCAAGTTGCTTCGCAGGTGTGGTTGCCGCGCCCGAGCTTCTGGCACATCGCCGTTCTCAGTACAATTGTCTGGACCTGGGTTTCGTTCTGATCTCATGGTGCGAGTGACCCGAGAATTTGATTCATGCAGGTGGTGGCCATGATGCTTTTGCAAACGTGGTTACTGAAACGTGAGCTTTCGACTCTCGGTATGCATCGTGGCAACGGGATGCCGCTGCATTGCATGGATTGGCAAGTCTTCGACGAGGTATGACGAAAGAAACCAACTGCTGGCAGATGCCGCTTCCGTTGTCGCCAGGCGGTGCGTCGACGAGCTTGCATGTGCTTGAACATTGTTACCAGGATCGCTGGGCTACATTTCTGGACAAGTGTCTTTGTAAAGTCTGTGCGCAAAGGACATTGCTTGCCCCGAGGGCCGAGCAGACGTTTTGACAGATTGTTCGGTTCGAGTCCACAGCGTATAATTACAGTTGCACTTGCAGAGGGCAAAAATTCTGTCGTTGGAGCCAAGCTTCGAATGATGAAGTGTCGAAATGACGAAGCAGTTGTGACTCTTCATTTGCTGTCTCAGCTCCTTGATGTTCTCGCATGCAGGGTGAACATGGAGCAGGGCCTGAAACTGAATTGGACAGCATAGACCTCATCGCACCAACCGCACCGTTACAGGCGGGGCTTGTCTCAGTGCGGCATGTTCACTGCAAGTGTGCGCAGCCTCAACTCAAGAAGTGTGCCCGTCATGTTTTGATGGTCATGATGTCTCGGCTCGAACAGATTCCCGCGTACAGGCACGTGCGTCATCCAAGCAGCACCTTGATTAACCATACCGCCATACTGCTCCTTGGTTTGTTCGTCCTGTTAGATTGGTTCGTGCTGCCGGCAGACTCCCGGCTTTGCCATCGATGCGGTTGCTCGTGGCCGCCGTGTTTGCGTTTGCTGCAGCCGGCATATGGCAGTTGGGGTTCGTCGGGCAGTGTGGCTGCAGATATGCCAAGTGGATCCACATGGGCATGCTTCAGTGGTTTCTCTTGATTCGCGGACCACGGGAGTGCGTCCCAACTTTTGAAGAAGATGTTTCTACCAAGCTCAATATGGCAAGTCTGTTCTGTTTTGTTCCTGGCCTACTCGTAGCAGAAACGTTTTGCCTAGGCCAACTGCACCGTCCAACGTCAAAGTTGCCAGGGGTGCTGCCCAGGGGGAGACAGGCGGGTCCACCCATCGGAAAGATGTGAACTGCTGTTGACCGGCTGCACGAGGCGTGACCCAGACGAGTGCTCCAGAAGCTGGGCAAACTCATGCTGGACCAGCAATGACAAGTAATGTTTACAGTGGATCGGGAGTAATTAACTTGCGCAAGTTTGCCATGCCACAGTCCGAGGGCACCGTACGGAAAAGGGTGCGGAAGCAGCCCAAGCTGAAAGCCACCAGGGTTCCGAAGGCCAGGACGTCGTTTTTGGTAATCCAGATTTCGTTGGTGCTTCGATTGGGCTGATCCTGCTGCCAGGTCAAGGTGAGAAAGTTGGGTAAGTCAAGAGAGGGGGCCTCGGAGAACAGCGTCTGGGATTTCATCCGCGAGAAGGATGCCGGATCGCACACAGCAAGACTTGCCTTGGAGCGATGCTGCTTTGTACCCGTCAAATGGAGCACAGAACACAGCCTTGAGGACAAGCAAGCCATGGAGGAAGGGGCGTTCATGGACACTTTCCTTGGGCAGCTTGTCACAACAATTACGCTGGGCATTTCCGTCCTTCTCATCCTATGGGAGATCTACTTGAACACGCTCCTTGGATTCTCAGTGGCGACCTGCGTAGAGTCGTTTCTGCACTTGTTCTCTTCACTGCTGGATTGAGGTTGTATCCGCGTGTGTATCCAACGTACAACCCGTTGAACCCACAGATCATGGTGGACGAATCCATGCAGGCCAAGTCTGCCCTGGTAGTATACCTGACACGGGCATGCCTTGTCGACATGTGGTGCTTGCGGCCAATGCAAATCTCAGCAGAGAGAGGCTGTCCCACTACATCCCAGTAATATATTTGCTTGTGCTTGTTCGGCATGGCCGTTCCAGAGACTCTTCCGCTGGGCTTATTCACTAGTTCTTTGTCGCTGTTCCTTGCCCAAACTTCCTGGTCCAACAAAGCAGTGAAGTAACTTCAACTTCCGTTGGGCGATTCTCCAACCACTTGTTTGGTGCGCCCGGCAGCTCGTCACGAGCTCTCAGGAGGACCAATAGCAACATTCCAGCCGCATCTTCCGCGATCAGAAACTGAGATGATTGAGTCGCTCGCGCCGAAGTTTTGTTGGGCCTTACATGAAGCCCTCAGATGCTGCGGGGTTGTTCTCCAAGAAATCCTTCTATAATAGTCGAGGGACCTCTTTGTTTGCACGTACTCAGCAGGCTGGACAAGGGCTGAGGATCAGGAAACAACCTCACCGGCAATTGTGTCACCGTGACTCCAATTTTCCGCGTGCCATTGGAGAAAGTGCACTTTGCCTGCCAAGAGTCTTGTCAGTGACTTCTCGAGCTAGTCTTGTAATTGTCTGCAGGTGGGCAGCTTGAGATCCTCAGTGGGTTCTCAGATGGACTTCAACTTCAGCAAGACGGAAACTCCTGCTCTCACGACGTGCCACATGCTGTGGAATGATGTTTCTTTTGGCAGCAGGGGCGTGTAGGGGTCGCGGAGCTGGAGCAATGAGTCGGCGTGTGCGACCCTGGCGAGGCTGCAGCTGTGAAAAGGGAAAGCACCGGATGCCGTTGAGACATGCTGAGTGCTGTCGATTGAAGCAGTGTGGCATGCTACGAAAGGGTTGGATCAATCAGAACATGCGTCAGTCCAACCATGTCTGGTTCGGATTTCGGCGTTTGCTCGCTTAGTCACACCGCAAGTTGCTGACCGCCGCAGTTTTGCGAGCACGTGTCGTTGTCGCCGTGTACGTGGCTCGCCCTGAAGCCACTTTCAATGAAATCCGGCAATAGACACCAATGCTTTTCATCCCAACGTCCATTTTGAACTTATCCGTGCTAGGCGCTAGATGCTTTTGTTTAAAGATTGCCTGGTTGACCCACAACCTTCAGGACGAGGTGGGACATAGGGGCAAATAGGACTCACGGCTGTTCAGGGGGATGGCCGCGGCTGCGTCGGTGCAATGCAGCAACTCCAAGCTTATAGTGTGGGCACTGGTCCTCGTCATCCTGTCCGTGATGAGCATGCTCGTGGGGGTTGTGAAGGATGCCTATTGGCCGATGGCGGTTTGTGCGTCAATGTCGGTGCTTCTGTTTCTGCTGTTGTTTGTCGTCGTTTTCACGAAGACTGCTAGAGCAGAGGGTGGCACTGTGAACGACATGGAGATAGAGAAGGAGTGCCATTGTGTGTGGGCGGGTTGCAAGTTCGGAGAGCTGGACACATCGACTCCCGCCGGCCTGGTCTTCAACCTCGTTTCCGTCAAGACCGATTTGAGCGACGTCGAAAACACAAGCAATGTCACATGGACTGCACTGACAACAGTCAACCGCACGCTGTCAGGGAGCATCTCTTACCAAAAGGCTTGTGCTTGCTGCTTGGAAGACTTTGACGCAGACACCGACGTTGCTGTCCTTCCATGCGGTCATGTCTCTCACGAGAAGTGCATTGCTCGTTGGGTTTTGAGGTCCGCAAAGGAAGCCTCTTGCCCTTCGTGCCGAGCACCTTTCGATCACGTGGCAGAAACGATTTTGGCAATCTAGGTCTCTGATGCAGTTTCGGCCACGGCATGTACAGGATTGCTTGTGCTGTTGCTGTTGCATGAACGAAGCCTTGCCCATCGAGCGGGCACGAAAGCAATTGCTGCAGCAGCAAACTGCAAAGCAGCTGATGAACATATCGGAAATTTCGTTTCATAGTAGCTCGCTGACTGACTCAGCTCAGGCGTGTCATTCAATTGCGTTTCGGCGGTGCTCCTCTGTCTTTCACGGAGCCGCAGAGCCGTGCGTCCTGCTGTAGTTCCCTTATCTGATGGACTCGCCGAGAGTGCATGCAGAAATCGTCAAGTCCTTCACCTGCGCGAAGTGCAATCCATTTCTATCCGCTGCCGGACACTGTTCTGAATTGGGAAGACTTAACATGCCGCCTATCCAGACGAATCCATGGTGAGAAGCCTTGCGTTACAACATCCTCCAACGGAACGGTTTGAAAACACTGGAGTAGGGCATTTCGGGAGGGCTTGCTTTTGGGCTTTCGGATGCTTTCGGGCTCTCAAATTTCGGGAGTGCACATCTGGTACAGTATGCTCATGTATGCTCCCATGTTTGTAATTGACGCCGCGAGCGGCATAAACGACTTTTGTGGTTTGTGCGACAGGCGTGGGGGTTGGGTCACAAACCTTTTCCGTGCTGTTTTGAGTTACTCATCGCCACCGGTGCAGCAATCTTCTTTGACCTTCTTCCTGATAATATCGTTGTGCGATGCGATGCGGTAAGGTTCGAATTGCTCGAAGCGCGAGATCCGAAACACGCAAGCACGAGATCCAGCCCTTCAGCCGGCCTGCAGTCCCAAGCCGTAAAATTCAAATTGGAATAGCCTGGTTTGAGTGGTGGTACCACTACGACGACGACGCTTGCTACTGCTGGCACTAGGGTTTAGGGCTTGTCCGGTGAGAAATCGGTTTAGGGTTTTGGGTTTGGGCAATATCACACGGAAGCCGATCAATCGTGACCGCTCAAAGCTGCTTTCCTCTCAATGTGGGCTGCCCTGCCAGACTTAGCTCGAGAGGTTAGGTTCTGGTCTTCGCCTTCTTGCCAAGCCATTCCCATCTGGCTGGGCATCCTAGCGCTGCTTTGCGCTTGCGGCTTCGGCTGCTTTTGCGGCCTGTGCGCCGCTGGCTTTGCTTTTTCTGCTGGGGTTCGCCGGGGCTTCATCTACTTGGTCAAGCTTTTCATTGGCTGGTTGGATTTTGCTCAGGGTGCTCCTGAAGCTCGGGCACAGCTTGCGCATCGGCTGCGGGAATATCGGCGTGGATGAGCAGCAGCTCTAACTCTGTGGAACGGTTGATTCTACAGTTTTCGGGACTTCGGGTATCTATTGAGCGGACCGAGGGTGCTGCTCCTGACCACGATCCCTCGCCCACTGGAAGCTTTGTGCTGGTAGAAGCCGGGGCTGAAGCTTTGGACGGTTCCCAGGCCTCTTCTGGACCCCTTGCTCGGGAGACTATCTCCCTGGCCCGGTCGGCTGTGGCAGCAGACCTGGCCTTCTTCGACGCCGACACTCCAGCTGCTTTGGGCGACTTGAGTTTGGGACCCCACCTCAGCTTTGCTAGAAACCTGGCTTCTTTGACTGGCTGGTCTCCTGAAGCGAGGGTGGCTCGGGCTTATCGTGCGGGGCTCTCTGCGAGGGAGGTCCTTGGAGGTCTCTCCAATTATCAGCGCAGCTCCCTACCTTTGCCTATCCGGAACAGGATCTACGTGGTTCTGCGTTGCAGCTCTGAGCCCTTGGGGTTCGTGACTGAAAATTTCGGGACCTTCAGAGCCAAGGTACCAAAGGACCGGCTTGGACGCTTGGAGCGGGCTGCGGTGTGCCACGCGTTTCCCTCGAGGGCGGAAGCTCAGGCTTTCGTGCAGGCTTCGGGGAAGCCATGGCCGCAGGAGCTGTGAGGGGCGCTTTAAGCGCCAGGCAGAGGTCGAGGCGCTCATGGATGGAGCCTTTGCCTATGTTCTATTTCCTGGACAACCCCGATGCACCGGCTTCACGGATCACGGCTTTCCTGGTGCGCCTGCGGGCTGGTGGGATGATGCTGGCGCTGCCTGGCACGGACGAGGTGGGCCAGCTCCTTCACAGCTTAACGGAGGTAGGGGATGCCTCTGCCCCTTTGCTGTACACCACCCTGATGGTTGGCTGCGAGACTCCTCGGAGGCGTGCTGTAGGAGAGCTGGCCCTTCACTTCGTCGATGCCCCTTGGTCTTGGCTGCACTACCTGCGGTCCGGGGCTGCTCTTCGGGGCAGCGACTTGATCCTGATCTCCATCAAGGCGGGCTCTGTGGTGGTGCGACCGAACTGCGATGCTGCACAGGCTGCTGCGGATATTTGGGTCGCCGCTGCCACCGAGGATCCCGAGTTGCAGGATTCTGGTCTGGGCGAGTACATCACGGCTGCCGAGGACATCGACGGCCTTCCGCTTACCGACGCGGCCCTACCTGGTGCCGAGGGCGACGACGAGGAGGCACCGAACCCTGGCGAGGTGGCACAACTTCGTGCTCGGCTTCAAGCCCTCGAGCTTGCTGCGAGTTCTGCTGCTCCCGCGGGCTCGGGGATTGGCTCTTTGGTGGGCCGCGCGGGCGGGGCCCAGACACGGCGCGGCGCTCGAGACCTTTTCCCGGCCGGCCCTTCGGAATCTATCACCGAAGCAGATCTGCGTGCCCTTCGAGATGCTGCCGGCGCTGCTCCTCCACGACTGGCTCAGCACGAGCGGGCCCCTCGGTCCGCTGTTACCCGGGAGGCCGACGACGCCCTTGCCGAGATCGAGGCTGGTGTGGCTTTGGACGAGGCGGGGGCTTCCTCAGGCGATGCCGTTCTCCAGCGCCTTCTGGTGCAAACTCAGATGCTTGCGAAGCTTTCGGCGGGCAAACCTCGGAGCCCCCTGGAGGCCGCTCTGGGCAAAGACGACGGCAACTTGAGCGCCAAAGGCTCTGCAGCGAGGGACGCTTTTGTGCGGCTCCTGAAGGACAACCAACTCGTTGCGGATCAGATTCGCAGGCTGGCTGCAGAGGAGCTGGGCGAGGACATCGCCGCTCCCCCGCCGAACCTCATGAGGACTTTTGTGGAAAAACGCAGCCCAGTTGGCGAGCTGAAAACTTTGGCCCTGGTCAGCACCTTCGCGGCGCACTCATGGGAGGCCGCACGCTACAGCGGGAACATCGAGATGGAAGCCTGGGCCGCCCGGCTTTTGATGTTTTCGGACCAATGTGCCACCGAAGGTGGCAGGACGCAACTAGGCTGGTTGCTAACTGGCCTGCCCGATCCATCGTGGAGCACCCTAGTGCGCCGACGACAAGGCCTTCGCCCGTTTTCACGGCTGTGCCCGAGTCTGTGGTTATCGGGAAATGTTGCGTATTTGAAAGAAATGGAGTGGTTGGGCACGAGAATGAGCTCTACTGGAGATCAAGGCCGGGACCCTCCAAAGGACACAGCCGAGGCCGACGAGCAGCCCACGGGTCGCCCGCCACGGCGCCCTCGACGAGCGCCCAAGGGCGCCAGCGACACCACCTGAGTGAGAGTAGCTTTGCATGTGAGACTTGGGCGGTGGAGCCGCCTCGGTCTATCTGCGCCTCAGGCGCCCCTAGGAATTCGATAGATACCTTTTGCCCAGCTGGGGGGTGAAGCCCTCGGCGGCGCGGGCGTGCCCCCGGTTGTAAAGCCTTCCCGTCACCCCCTGCAATTCCGAAATCGGACGCTTGCTTTGTTAGTTGGGTCTCTAGTTTTTTAGGTTCCCTTTCAAGTTCTAGGTCGGGCTTGGGTTCTTTCCTTCGCCTCTCCTGCCGAGCTCCCGCCTGCACAGCTGTGCCTGACGAATGCTCAGGCGACATTTGGCCTGTCCCTTTGCCAATGGCTTGTCGGACGGCCTCTGCAAATTGCAAGCTCAGCCCCAGACGGCGCCGGCGAGCTAAGCTCCTAAGGGTTGCTAGGGAACTTGTTAGGATTCAGGTTGGCGTCCTTAATTGGTTAGCCCTCGGTTGCCCTACGGTTCCCCCAGCCCGAGCCTGCACTCGTGGCGCTGTCTTGTCAGCTGACCAGCACAATGCCCTTGATACGTTGGAGCGACACTGCCGCCATTTCCTGCGGGCAGGACCCTTCAGCCTGTCAACTCTTGGTCGCTCGGGGGAAAAATTCACGAACCTTTTAGGCAGGGCCCTGGAACTGTCTCAGGCCGATACGTCGTGTGCTTGTGATGTGGACCGCCTGCTCTCTGAATTCGTTTGTACCTTTGAAAACGACTGGTGCCCATACACCCGACGCTCCCGTTTCCCTAAAGCCCCAGAGCCTCCTGACTCAGCACAGGTTGCAACGCGGCCCGATGCCGCCTCGGCTGCTCCTACACCTGACTTGGGGGTTTCTTCGGTTGATTCGGGATTGTCTTGCAAGCCTATAACTTCTGATAGGATTAAATGGTCACTTCCTCCGAGTTTCGATCCGATGCCTTTTTTGGTTGATGCCGAAATTAAACGTGCTTTTGCTGACCCGGACTCGGCCCGGCTTCCTCCCGAGCTCTGGCCTAACATGCCACGGGCAAAGGTTCATGCCAGCCGCGCCGAGCTTCTCAAGCTCGCGTCGAAATGGGACCATTTCAAGGCACTTCGGATTTTCAGATGTTGTGATGTCGATCCTTCAGAAACTGTAGGCTGTTTCGGGGTACCCAAGGATGAGGCCTTTGATCGATTCATGTTGAACCCTTGTGTAATAAACTCTCGCTCTCGTAAGATCAGCTTGTACACGAAGCTTCTTGCCCCGGGCTGCCTTTTGGCCCAGGCCACGCTGCCTTCACATAATCACGTGATCCGTTTTTGTTGTGACGACTTGAGTGAAATGTACTATACATTTGTGGTTCCTGAAAAACGTGCAATGAGAAACTGCTTGAGTATGGTCTTCGCTCCCCACGAACTCAGTGGGTTCAGTGTCTTTAATCCCAGGGTTCACAACCAGCCATGCTATATCGCCTTGAATTCCCTTGCCATGGGGGATTGTGGGGCGGTCGAGTACGCACAACAAGCCCACTTTAATGTGCTTGCCAGCCTGGGAAACAGCATGAGACCCCACGAATTCGTGGCCTACAGGCGGGCGGCTCCTCGCTCCGCCTGCTGGGAGTTTTTATCAATAGATGACCGCCTGACTGCTCAGGTTTGCTCTCGGGCTCAGCTTCGAGGAAACACGTGTCTCAGGGACTCTGTTATCTTCAACTGCGCCGACGCCGCTTACCCTGCAGTGGGCCTGGTATCTCATCCGGGCAAACGAAAACGCAACGTGACTACAGGCGTCTTCTTGGGCGCCGATGTCGACGGCATCGCTGGGCTGGTCTCAGCTCCTCGACACCGCACGGGCGTCTTGATGAAGATTACCTCTGTGATCGCACGGCGGGGCTGCTGCTCACCCTCCCTGCTGGCATCTGTTTTTTCTGCCTGTGGATTCACGCCTTGCTCTTCCGCCGCCCTGTGTTTGCTGTGCTTAGCCAGGTCTTCGTCGACGCGCGCCGGGTGCCTTCCAACAAGGTCTTTGCTTTGCACCGCGACTCTGTTAACGAGCTTCTGTGCCTTTGTGCTCTGGCCCCTCTTTTGCAAGCGGATCTTCGAGTTTCTTATCCCGGCGAGTTGTTCTGTATGGATGCTTCGCCCACGGGTGCGGGCTTGTGTTCTGCCAAAGTCCCGCCTCACGTGGTTCAGGAACTTTGGCGCCATACCGAGCAAAAGGGGTTTTACACCAGACTACTTGAGCCCGCCTCGGCCTTGCTGTGTGACCTGGGCCTGAGCTCCGACCCGGGGGCTTCCTTTGTTGAAGGCCTTCACCCTGCTTCCGCGTCTCCTTTCGACCCGGAGCCCTTGCCCTTGCGTCCGCCTAAAACCGACGGTGCGAGCTTTGTGTGTCTTTTCTGCCAGCGCTGCAACTGGGCTGTGTCACACTCACGTGCTGGCTTGACTGACTTGGTTGAAACTGAGCCCTGGCTTCGCGACCTTCCGTTTGCTGCTCTTGGTCACCGTGCTACCTTCCACAGGCTTTGCCGCTTGGCTGTGAATGGGCACGTGCATGACTGGCACACCGCCCCTCCTTGGTGCATGCTCGGGCGTTCTGCGGAGGACCCGGCCGGCCTACTTTCTCCCACTGCCGAGATCGCCGCAGCTAACACTTTGGCCCGCCGTCTGTGCTTCGTGCTGTGTCTGGCGGCTGCCGCGGGCTCCTACGTCAGCGTCTCACAAGTGTCCTCAAGTGCTTTGTTGCGGCTCCACTGCTTCCGTGGCCTCATCGCCCACGGTGCCGCTTTAACTTCGCTGCACCTTTGCTCTTTCGGGTCGCCTTGTGGTCAGGTCCTTGACGTTCTTCACAACAAGCCGTGGCTATGCCGCCTGGGCGGCGCTTTCGGTACTTGCTCTTGCAGCTCCTCACTGCCACACTTTCCTGTCGTGGGGCGCTTCACTTGCGCCTCCTGTGCTGCCTTCGCTTCCCGTTGCAAGCCTTCTGTCACGGCTGTTTTCGGTCGTGCGCCTACGGACGGAGAAAGCGTTAGTGACTTTTGCAGCAGCTTGCCGTTTCCTCTCACCAGCAGAGCCTCCTCGGGGAGCAGCCTCGCCGCTGGAGGTTATGTCACTTCGCTGCCCGCTTCGTCACCCCTTGCCGCCCTCTGTGCCCTAGGCTTTTTGGGTTTAGACCCTCCCTCCTTAGGTTTAGGGGTTTGCACTCGGGAAGGTAGGTTGTTCCACGACGATCCCGAATGGATCGGTGAATTGGCCGATTGCCTTGATTATCACGAGATCCTTCGCTACACCTTTAAAGGCCATGGACATATCAACGTTCTCGAGGCTCGCTCCTACAAGACTTGGCTCAAATGGTGTGCCCGGCGGCTTCCTCACACTCGCCCTGTCGGCCTGATCGACAGCCGCGTTCTTCTAGGCTGTGCTGCCAAGGGCCGTTCCGCGAGCCCTGCTCTTTGCCGCGTTCTTCGTTCCACCGTGCCGTATGTCCTCGGCTCAGGTCTCTATCCCGGAGGTCTCCATGTCTACTCAGCTCAAAACCGTAGTGACGGCCCTTCTCGCGGCCGCCCTCCTGCTCCCGCTTCTAAGCCTTGGCCTTCCTGGCTTCACTCTCTTGTTGCTGGGGATCACCGTCCCTTTGACTTGGTTTGCGCCTCGGCCGCCGTCCCTCGCGTTTTGGGTCGCTGGTTCAGGTTCCTCCTTCTTCTCGCCGGCGACGTCGAGCGAAACCCGGGCCCTTTTCACTCCGGCGCCCCTCGTGGTGCCCTTGACATGCAGGGTGGTTTCGCCTCGTCCACCAAACAGAAGATGGACAAGGCCCTCGGTGCTTTCGCTGTTTGGCTTCAGGTAAGTTTCGGTTTGGGACTTCAGGCTGTCCTTTCCTCTGCTTCTACTGCAGCCACTGCACTCCGTGCCTTCGGTCTCTACCTTTACTCCTCAGGTCAACCAAGGTACCTGCTTGTTTATGCCATCACTTCTGTGCAGGATAGCCACCCAGAGTTTCGCTCTCAGCTCGCTCCTGCGTGGCAAGTCGACCGGAAATGGCAACAAGTTGAGCCCGGTGAGTGCCGTCCTGTCATCTCCCAGCCTATCGTCCAGGCTTCTGTTGCTTTAGCTTTATGCTGGGGGTGGTTTGACTGGGCCTGCCTTACCTTGATAGGGTTTCTTTGCATGCTTCACCCGGCTGAGATGCTGTGCCTGCAACGCCAAGACCTTGTGTTTCCTGAGGATGCTCTGTCCCCGGACCCTGTTGCGTATGTTCACATTCGCAACCCCAAGACGCAAAGATTTGCCCGGCGACAACATGCGCATCTTGAGGACCCTTTGGTCCTGCAGCTGCTGAAGTTTCTTTACCTCGACCTTCCTCTTTCTTCCAAGCTGTTCCGCGGCTCCATGCATACTTACAGGCGTCAATGGAACTCCGTTATGTCTAGGCTTGGTGTGCCACACCGCCTCTCAGATCGGGGCGCTACCCCTGGGGTCTTGCGAGGCTCAGGGGCAACCTTCCTTTACTTGGAGACGGAGGATCTACCGCTTGTTGCCTGGCGTCGCCGGTGGAGTAAAACGAAGACCGTCGAGTTTTATCTTCAGGAAGTTGCGGCCCAGTTGCTTTTGCAACGTCTTCCGCCAAGCGCCCGTGAGAGGATCCGCTTGCTGAGCTCTTACTCCCGGGCCCTTATCCTGCATGTGTTGCACAATGGTGGCAAGTAATTGCCAAGGATAATAAGGGTGGAACACTACGACCTACAGCTTGGCCTCAGGCAAACTCTGCAGGCCCGCCGGCCTTCCCCTTACCCTAGGACCCTAAGGTTTAGCTCCCGGCTCCTTTGTTTGTGGTTTAGGCCCAGCCCTGCTTTGTTTCCCTTCGAGCTCCACCTGCTGCAGGCTTGTTTCACTTCTTGGGAGACTTCACGACAGCAGGCGCAAAAGTGTGATGGGCAATATCACACGGAAGCCGATCAATCGTGACCGCTCAAAGCTGCTTTCCTCTCCCGGCCCGCCCTCCCAGGCGCGCTTTGCGGAACACTACGACCTACAGCTTGGCCTCAGGCAAACTCTGCAGGCCCGCCGGCCTTCCCCTTACCCTAGGACCCTAAGGTTTAGCTCCCGGCTCCTTTGTTTGTGGTTTAGGCCCAGCCCTGCTTTGTTTCCCTTCGAGCTCCACCTGCTGCAGGCTTGTTTCACTTCTTGGGAGACTTCACGACAGCAGGCGCAAAAGTGTGATAGGGCTTAGGGTTCAGGGCTGGTTTTCGGGTTGGTTACGCGCGCCCGGCACGAGCGCCGGTTGAAGAATATCTTGGAATCTTGGACCATTTACGTCACTTGCTGACCAAGATTACGTTCAAATCCTAGCACCAAGATCTTCAGACAAGCGAAGCCCGCACAGGCGTGAATATAACCCGTCCAGCATATTCTCATATACTTTCGCAGTGACTGCGAGAGGGTCCCAAAGAAGCCGTGGCAGGGTCTGTCAAAATCCCGAAGCCAAAAACACGCAAAGAGCCGGCTTTGTTCGACAAAAGCCAAGACTGTTCCCTCGCGTAGCCAAGGTGGCACGTTGATTATAATCATGAAGCAACAGACAGAACGAACGGACTCGTGCTCAGACTGTCATGATGTTCTCGCGGGTAACTCGAGGTCGTATTGTCGCACTTGACGTGCAGTGCGTGGTGGGGAGTGACCTAGATGCCGCATTCGGCAGATGTGGAGAGTGGACGCAGCCGTTGGCTTCTTGGGATAATCCCATGTTTTCGCTTGGTTTGCCAACCAGTCCATGTCATGGTCACAAGTTCTGGCTATGTGCTTCTGGCAGCACTCTTGCCATGGATGGTTTGCAGCGTTCGAGGGATACTGGAACCTGAAGGCTCAGATCCCGAGGAGGTGCCTAAAGATGAGGATCGCTTGGAGTGCCTTCGGCAAGACAACTTGGACCTCGTCGGGGACGCGGACTTCGCCCGCCGCTACATCCTGCGCCAGGTCGTAGGGGTCAATGAAGACGACACCAACAGTGACATTTACCTCTTTGCTGACAAGTTTCGCATCAGCCGAGTGCAGGCCGAGTTAAAGTTAAGTCGAACCGGTGCAGATGCTTTGGCATTCGAGCTCGTGGGGAGCAACTCTACTGAGAAGCATACTGGACTTGGCAGTGCAGACATGCGGATCCGAGAGTTCCAGCTCGTGACCCAAAGCTCAGTGATCAGTTGTGCTACAAGTTTGGCTTCGAGAATCGCATCGGATTGCGACGACCCAGAAGAGCAGCGCCTCTGCTTAGCTTTGAAAATGCTGCCAAAGCGTGGGTCTTTTTTGTAAGGCTAACTTGCGCAACGTGTATCTCATTGTTGAACCTGCTACCGGGGCCTGCGGTGCTTGTTCTGCAGGCAGGCCACCGTCCTTTTTCAACTCGCCGGGACGATACGTGCAAAGAAGCACAAAGGTCGCTGGGAAGCGGACATCGTCACGAAGGAGGCACGGGCATTTGGTCCGACTCAGCCGGTCGCTAGTCGTTTGCAGCTTGAGCCTTCGAAGTTGTGAAATGACACTACTCCTATCGCGTGGTGGCTTTTCTAGCCTGATGCAGCAGATGAACATCTCCAAAACCCTTCAGATACAGCTTTTGAAATGATTGAAGGGTTTGTCTCGCCAGGTTGATAGGGCCTTTCTTAAATTCGTTGCAATCCTTGCGACACCTTACCAGCCCCTGTCCAGAGCCCAAGCAGTTCAGATTTTGTAGCAGAAGCGGCTCAACAGGTGCGCTACTTCAGTTTCGGCTTTCAGAACAAAAAAGTCCTTGCATTCGCCCTCAGCTGGCTTCCAAGATTCTTGGTGCTGTTAGTTCAGGTCTGCATTTTGGGATCTCCTTTCGAGTGCTTCGTCGCTTTCGGTGTTTTTCAGTCGGCACTTTGAAGTGTGTCTTTGTGTGTGTGTGTGTGTATTGACTCGCCTACATGCAAGGTGCAGCTTCCAAGCGCCTCAAGCTTTGTTGCCAAGCTCAGGTCCCATAGAGGACGAGATCAAGAACCAACTTTTTGAATTGGTTGTGCCACGCCGCATAAAGTCAAGCACTTGACAGGGATGTGGAAGGTCGGTTTTTGGGGTGGCCGTACTTCAGTCAAGCTTGGGTGGTGTCTTGCTGGGAGTCGAGGCGACTTCGGCTTAGTGGTAGTGTCCGTAAGGATCTAGCAGCTTGCTCGAGCATCCGACCTCCCATCGTGCTGAAAAGCGGCTTGGTAGCGGACACAAGGAAACGACCATTCCGATCAACCTCCTGGCCTCACTGCAGTTTCTGCCGCGGGAGGCGTGCGTGACTTGGGTGCTCAGCTCGGCTTCACGAAAGATCTGAGAGCATTCCAGGACCACTGGCTGACCGGGAGCATGAAGCTGCTCGGGAACATGACAGAAGCTGCTCGCCATGTTCTGATCCAGGTCGGAAAGGTGCTAGCTGCTGTCTTTCGGCGAGCGAACATGTGTTCTGCTTCAGATTTCATTTTGCGCCAGTGATTGCACACGCCTTCCAAGGCGAACGGCCCTCTCAAGGTGTGGTCTTCATTGGACTTCACTGCACACACCGTTCCCGCAAGGCCACAGCGCAAGGGTGAAGATGCTTTCGCCTTTTGCAATTCCACGGTGCTTGCAGCTGCCGCAAAGCTTCACTGCAGGATTCCCGGCATCCTGAACAAGACTTTCACCGTCGAGGCGTGCATGAGATCACGTTCAGTTACTAAGATGCACCCCTTCTTCGGTCATGCTGAGCTGTCTGTGCACTGTCAGAGCTGTTCAGCAAGGTTTCTCATTCCACGTGGAACAATGGAATGAGAGTTGAGGGTGTGGCTGGTGGGGTTCCGTGGATGCTCTGACTTGTCGGGTTAATGCGGGTGCCCCAAGGTGCGATTGATTACGAGTGAATGTAAGTGGCAGAGGGTGGGGAGTGTCGCAGCTGCCCATTTGCAAGTATCATGCCGAGTCCATACGCAGCCCCGGGCTTCGCAACTATCATGCAGGGACGATGCATAGTGGTCCCGGAGGCATGCATATGAACAGGGCAGTGTGCCGATCCCCCGAAATTTCTTCTTTGCCTTCTGACTCTGCTATAGACCTCCAATTCGGCTGTGCACGAGGAGGCTTCATGTTGTTACTTTTCTTTGGTCAGTCTGTAACTTGACTTCTGCGATTTCCGGTGCTGGGGTGCAAAAACATGTTTGTCGTTGTTTCTGCCTGTGGCATATGCTACGAATCATGCTAGGTTTATGCACCTCCCAGTGTTGGAAAGTGTGTAAGTAAACAATGGTACTGCTGTGTTTTCGTTGATTGCGAGTGCTCTTAATTCGCCTGAAATTGCTGCAGATGCTGTGAGCAATCGCATCTCTGCGGTTTGGTGTGCTGCAGGCGATGTGGAACGCTTGTCTTGGTCTTCGAACGTTGCAAAACATATTGAAGTGTTATGTTGCGCGATATGCTTCGTAGCCCGCCGCTCTAGAGTTTAGATCCCTCTCCTAAAGACTTCACTTGAGCATGTTTTCTTCAGACGAGCTCACTGCGGTGCGACATTGTCAGTTGGGCGGGTGGGAGAAAGATCTCTCTCCTTCTCCTTCGTTCCTTCCCGAGTTCCGTCCTTCCTCCCTTTTTGTTTTCGGCGTGCAACACCACGTTCTTGTTGCGAGAAGGCAGGCTAGCACTGGAAATTCATGCAGGTCGCTTCATGCATTCAACTCGCTTTCATGTTGGCTTGGTGAAAACGTGCCACTGCATCCGACCTTTGGGTGGTGCTTGGTTGGAGTGTCAGAGGAACTCGCGACTGCCCTCCTGTCTGACCCCAAGCTGGCACGGGCCAGGCTCCCAGATTCCTACTGTAGATGGCCCTGGCATCTACGAGTGTGTGTGTGTGTGTGGAGGGCCTTTCAGCTGTGGAATTTGCACTTGAAGTCTTGAAGGCTGGTTGATGCGAGGCGTTTGCAGTTTGCAAGTCTGAGCGGAGTGTCGGCAAAGAAGCATGATTTGGAAGCAAAGCGTGCGCCGCCACACAGAGTGAGATGCATTTGTGCCGCGCTCCTATCATTGGTGGTCCCTTGCTTGTGACGTTGCACAACTCTTCGGCGAGCGCGAGATGCATGCGCCTAAGGCATTGAGCAACTTGATCGAGAACCTTCCCCAGTTCAGTATCTCTGCTGCATGCAGCGGCAGGAGGGATCTGTTGGGGTCAGGGGGCGCTGGCGCACGACACGGCTTGTCAGGACAGTCTTTTTAAGACGGATGAGCGGCTCAGGATATGTGATCGGCGACAGGCTTAAGTCCGTCATGGAGGAGGCAGTCTGTGGTGTGCAAAGATGTAGGTTGACGCTACGGAGAAATCAGCCTTGTACCAGCCACAGGTGAACTACAAGTCCTCTCGATCCGCCCGGATGGAGCAAGTCAGGACTGACGTAACAAGAAGAGTTCATAATTGCAAGGTCTGTTAGGGTGACCGCAGTGTTCCAGATCCTGTGCTGACATGATGACGAGCCAGAGGCCTTCAAAGCGAAATGACTGCCAGGAAGATCAGCCGCGAGCTGTCCGTCCAATTCTTGCAGCCCTTCTTGAAGGACCCCCGATGTGCAAAGACGTCCCAAAGTCAAGACCTCTCTCGTCTGGCCTGGTGACGAGCAGAGACGCGAAACTCCCACCTCGCTCCTGACGAGCCGTCGAGCTGTGGGAAACCGCAAGAGGTGCATTTTACCGTTTGCCGGCAGGCTCACATGGTGGGGACGAAAGCCGCCGACCTCCGGGGCTGCCTGGCTTGGTTTTTGGGGGTGCTTGGCGTTTCTGGGCTGGACGCTTCAGTTGCGCCTGAGGGACCTGGGAGGGCCAGCCATCATAACTTACAGTGGCTGACCACGCAGCATGGGCATTCTCGCGTCGATGTTCGGGTCCGGAGTTCCGTTGGATTCTGCTACTGAACAGGAAGGAGGCCCACGATAGTCCGGCAACAAACAGCCATGTTAGCATGCGAGCAGTCAGATCCTCGTGATTGTTGTTTGTTTACCAAGACCCGCTGCCAACAGCAACCTTTTGTGTGGCATTAAGAGGGCAAGCCGCCGGTCCGCTTCGAGGTCTCAATGCGCATCTCGGTGGTGGCGTTAGCTGGAATGCCTCCGACAACGGCCTTGCCAGGGCGAGCTTCCATCCCAAAGAGCTCAAGTTTCTGGGCATGCAAAGCGAAGCACGTCGGCCCCTTCGGTGAAGTCTGATATGTTGTGAACATTCGTCGAAACTGATGCTGTCTCCTTCCAGATCTCTGGATGTGGCTGTTGTTACGGGCTGTGAGCTTGAGGGGTGGCTCATGGCTGACCTAGCCGCCTCGTGCATAAGCGCAGCTGTCGGTCAATGCCTATGTCACCTCAAAGCTGCTATCACGATAGGCAGTGCATTCAATCCCGATGTTTGAAGAAGGGCCTGCTTGTCAAAGTACGGCAAATGCAGGTATTCCGAAGTTCAAACCGGTGCATAGATTTTGAGCGAGTTGTGATTGCTTGGGGCACGAGGCATCTAGACACACCGCAAGGAGCCCTGCAAGACATGTGCTTCCGAGGCTGCGCGCGGGATCAGGTGAGGATGGAAATCCACTGTAGCTCTTTCGCATGTGGGCGCTGGATGCATGTTTCAGGTTGCACGATACGTGGAGATATGTGGAGTATGGTCCGTATGGTGACCTAAGAGCACCGAAAGAGGCTAGAGGACATCGGCATTCGAGAGTGAACTGCCGCCGCACTGCGCTTCTCCACGACACGGCTGTCATGGGGAGAAAACATGACGGGAAGTGTGGATGGATACCCCACATGCGGCCCCCCACCCCCTCAAGGTACAGCCTCGCGCAAGCCCCGCTTGGACTACTGGAAGAGCTTGCACTCAACGAGCCCTGGTCTGGTCAGGGGCTAGGGCCGCTAGGGGGTCAGGGGGGCGGGCTGTGAGGGTTAACTGCAGCAGCCTTGACTGAAGCTTGTAGTATGTCGTCTTGGGTCTTGCAGTTGGGGCAGGGAATGCCTAAGCGTAAGACTGCACTATGCATTCCTCATCGTATGCACTTGGCACATTCTGAGGAGTTGCTTCCGAAGCTGCCGGCAGAGGGCGAGTTGGCAGAAGTAGAGTTCAAGGCTCTCGAATACAACTCGAATGACATTTCCTTGGCCCTTGCCGCAATTCGCAACTGGGCACAGAAACCCGATGCAAGCATGAATTCAACAGCGAAGTGGCAGGTCATAGTGGCAGAGGCGAAGGCTATTGCCTTGAGGCTTCCGCAGGCATTGTCTCTACCGTTTGCTATCTCCTGCATGGGTGGCAAGATCACGATCGACCATTCTGGCAGGATCCAATTGTTGAGTGGCCGAAGTGGAGTCGAAGTCAGCCAGACACGGCCCATGTATCGGCCCGTCAGAGAAGGAGCGCAGCGTGTCTCCGGCTCCGGGCAATTGGGGGACGAGGGATGGGACAAGCGTTTGCCCACGGAGTTTCAGCGACCGACGAGTAGTCAGTTGGACATGACCGTGGTGGACGGAATAGACCAGGTAGCTGGAAGTGTGAGTTTAGATGTTGTCGGGGAGGCCAAGGGAAGCTTGCAAATCAAGATCGGTGGAACACTCCAGATGACCTTGGACGTCAAGTCCGTCATGGCTTCTGCTCTGGCAGGCTTACCTACCGAGGATTTCGGATATGCTTTCTTTGCAGATGAGTTCGAATTTTACAAGTCCGATTATCAGTCGCGCCAGGTCATGGCAGTGTTGAGCTGTGGGTACCTTCGTTTGTTGGAGTGGCCACTGCGAATTGAGCCGTTGAAAAGGCTGGACATGAACAGTGGGCAGAGGCAGTACGACTTGACGAAGTTGAGGGGCTATCCAACCCTTGAGAAAGATCCACAGCTGGGAACATGTTTGGTTGTACATTACACAAAGGAAGACTGTTTTTTTAGCTGTGATAAAACGGAGCGTTTATGTGGTGAAGCAGACAAGGCAGAAGCCCTCTACAAGGCTATAAAGCTACAAATGCACCGATTCGAACACGGCATGAAAGTCCACGAGTCCCAAGCCGTGAAGTGGAGATTTGGCACACATGTAGTGGGAAAGCCACATTTCGTGCTTCCGCAGGATACCGTACAGGCAAACCTTCAGACAGTAATGAAAATGCACACCTGGAGCAAGACACGGGGTGGCTCCAGCCACCCCGCGCTGCTTGAAGCTGCGGCCGCCTCGAGGATCAGTTCTTTCGTGGCTGAAGGCAGCGAAGTCGCAATCGCTCGGCATGCAAATACAGTGGAAGAGGAGCGCCGCATGGAGACACCTACCGAGAAGGGCAGCTTCGAGTCCAAGGCTTGCCGTGCGCAAGAGGAGCTGGATTCCATCCGCTATCCACCGGAGAAGTATGGCAATGCCTCGATGCGCATGGTCATACCGGCAACTCCGATTGGTGATGTGCATCTCCTCATCGAGAAGATCCAGGTCGTAAGCTTTGACATTGTAGGAAGTCTTGTCCGCAACAGCGACACGACCTTCTCCTTCGAGCTTGGGGGCAGCGATGGGCCTGGAACCGTGGACATCTATGTTCAAGGAGACGCGGCTGCACAGATCACATGATACGCCGCATCTGTGAGGCACGCCTTAGAGCGCCAGAGAGACGACGTATGATTGTCAAGTTCTCGGCGTCGCTTGGCTTGTTCCGAGATGTGAGTGCCGAAGCCGAAGCCCAAGGAATCAAGTTCAAGGCACCGGACTCTGCACTCCCGGGCATCGCGAAGGCGGCTAGTGCCCCTGGCCTGCAAAGTCTGGACTCAATGTCGGAGTTTTCAAGGTGGGCGCATGACAGTAACAGCAGCTGTCCTTGTTCTCGCCCCTTGCCGCCACGTCAGCCGACAAGCGGCACCGAGGCCGATAGCCTCGAGGAGGGGCCTTTGAAGGCGACCCTGAAGATGAAGGGGGAGTTCAAGCTGAGCGAAGGCACGGCCTTTCGGAAAGTGGTTCCAGCCGTGCGACTCTGTCAGCTGGGGCGCTGGGGAGAATCGTGAACGGCTGCGGCTACGGCTCAAGCAGCAGGGAACACCTGGCTGAGTCAGTTTTGCTTTTTTGAGTGATGCTGTCGGGGAGTCGGTTATTCATAGCAAGCTTGCAGCTTTGGGCTAGGACATGCGGTTCGCTACTTGCAGAAGGCATGTTGCCACCGATGTTTGCACATGCTGCCCTCTTGGCAGGTGCTTTTGTCTATCTAGGTCACAGAGCTTCAATTCCTTGAGCTGTGAAAGCACAAGATGATAGTCAGTTAGGAAGTCAGCTGAACCTTGTTTTCCCGCCTTATCCCGCCTTCCCCATGAGCCGATGGTTCCAGCATCCATGCTCCAAGAGTGCTTCTGGTTTCATTCTTTTCGCCTTGCAGCTCGCAGTTTTGGCATCTGCTAACCAGTGGACATTACTGTTTCCGCTGGGCACGCCAGCCGCGCGCAGTGGACACACGATGGTCTGGGATCCCGGCGCAGACGACGGAGGCTTCTGGATGTTTGGCGGGGAGCTTTTACTCAGCATCAAGTCCAACAACCTGTACTTCTACAATGCAGCTTCAAACCTCTGGACGCAGAAAGCCTCCGGCCCTGCGGCTAGATACCGCCATTCTGCAGTGTTGGACCCCACGGCAAGAACCTTGTACATCTTTGCAGGCACGAATCTGGCCTCCGCTGGCAACACCTTTAACGATCTCCATCTCTATGATGTGCAACTGGACTCCTGGACCGAGCTTACAGGCACTGCCGGGCGGTCAAGGCACACGGCGGTGTGGGACAGCACCAGCGATCGGATGATCGTGTTCGGGGGCTTGGACAATATGCTGAACAAGCTGAATAGCCTCGCTGAGTACGACCGGGTCACAGACAGCTGGTCCAGCCCGGCGGCTGCGGGCCCGGTAGCGCGCGACGGTCACGTGGCCGTCTGGGATCCTGCTACCGGCAGTATGCTGATGTGTTGCGGTGCCTCCTCTGCGGCAACCCTCGGTGATCTGTGGAGCTATAACGGCGCCTGGAGCCAGCTTGCTCCATCAGGCAGCATCACGGCCCGGAGGTACGCCTCTGCAGTTTGGGATCCTCAGGCCGGGGCCTTGCTGGGCTTTGCTGGTTCTGGCGGTTCCAGGCTGGACTCCTTGTTCTTGTATTCTGCAAGCGCCAACAGCTGGAGCGAGTACACTGAGACGGGCCCTCCTGCGCAAGACAGAGGTGCAGTGGCCTGGGATCCCGTGAACGGGCGCCTCTACGCCTTTGGTGGCTACTATAAAGACAACTGGCTTGGCCTGTTGGGTTCGCTGTGGAGGTTCGATGCATCTCCTACGTCCACGACCAGCACGAGCTCCGCAGCATCCACGTCCAGCATCACGTCATCATCAACCGCCAGCAGCACTTCTAGCACAACCGCCACCGTTAGCACAACAAGCACCACAGAGACGACCAGCAGAACGACGACAGCAAGTGCTTCCAGCACGTCCGCCACACAGTCCAGGTGGGTTGATCTTAGACTGCTGAATGTGCTGCTTTTCCATTGCTATTTGGGTCTTTTTCCGTTGCTGCTAGACCCCACCCTCACCCATAGTCTCACCGACAACCTTAGTTTCCGCCACAAGTTCACCCACAGGACGTCCACCACACGAAGCACCGTTTCATCAACCTCCACATCCTCGACCTCCAAATCCTCTACCTCCACGAGTGCATTTTTCACATCTTCCACCGAAACGAGTTTGACAACTACATCCGGAACCACTACTGTCACTACCGCCACGCTGACGACAATAACCCAGACATCTTCAACAGCTTCGACCTCAACAGCCACGTCCGTGACTTCGTCTTCCACTTCAGCGACGACGTCGACTGCAACCGCCACTTCCGTGACAACCTCTTCCACCAGCCTAAGACGCTCGTTCACGACATCGACGACCGCCACTTCAACAACATCTGCATCAACTAGGTCAACTACAACATCCGTGACGTCAATG